TAAAAGAGATGTAAAGAAACAAAATAAAAAGAATCGATGTATAATGGTTATTTCATTTCCGCGATAAGAAACATTTGGTAAATAAATGAAGGCATCACTCCGAAACTTCGTTCCTGCCAAAGATACAGTCTGACTGAGTATACGGCAACACCATTACTAGTTGAGCACACAGAGCATATAATTGAGCAATAACTCAGGAGCAAAGAGAAGAGATCAAGAGATGAACAACAGAAAGAAGAAAAATTCGGGGCATCGAAATTTGTGGAATCCATGTTTGTTTGTAAAGGTCATGATAAGCGAAGTCTGAGCGCATTACTAAAACCCAGCCTTGCCAAATGAGGCAGTCGGGCTGAACATGCGGTAACATTTCTCGCAGCTAGTTGGTCACGCACAGCGCCTCACGGAAAGCGCGCACGCCGCCGCCGCCGCCACGACGACCGCTGCCTCGTCCACAATCGTTTCTTCTCCACCTCCGCCCTAGCCGCCTCCTCCACCATAGGCGACGCAATCATCTCCGCCTCTTCCATTGCCACGACCACCGCTGCCTCGTCCACAATCTTCTCATCGCCGCAACCGCCTCCTCCACCATAGACCACACAGTCATCTCCACCTCTTCCACCACCACCATTGATGACGCAGCCGCCACCGCCACCTCGTCCACAATCGTTTCTTCTCCACCTCCGCCCTAGCCGTCGCCTCCGCCATAGACGACTCCGCTATCTCCACCTCTTCTATCGCCGAGCAGTCATCTCCGTCTCTTTCATCATCACTACCACAACCGCCTCCTCCACCATAGGCGACGCAATCATTTCCGCCTCTTCCATCTCCACCACCGATGCCTCGTCCACAATCGTCTCCTCGCCGCAACCGCCTCCTCCACCATAGTCGACGCAATAATGTCCGCCTCTTCCATCGCCACCACCGATGCCTCGTCAACAATCGTCTCCTCGCCGCAACCGCCTCCTCCACCATAGTCGACGCAGCCATCGCCGCCGCTGGCGCCACTACCCTCGCTCCCCCCTCCTCCTCCTCCCGTTGGCCGACCTTTCGCGAGGAGCCTTCGCGGCGGCAACGAGGCAGGCCTTTCGAGCGTTCTCACGCCCACCGCCGAGTGTCGACATGCAAATCGACGTGAGGAATCGACGTGAGGACCTCGGCCGCGCCGGCGCCGCTGCTGCTAAGAGGAACGCGGAGCGAGCACGTTTCGCCTGGAGAGTCCCTAACAGAAGAGCCTATCACTTCCACTCAATGCGGATTTGCCAAGCTTCACAGTTAGTCCAAAATTATTCGAGAGAAAAAAAAGAAATTTACGACGCTATCATTGCAGAGGAATAAGTACCTTGACCTTCAAATGTCTTTGTTAGACCCTTTGGCAGACCCTAAAACTGAACTCCAGAAGAGTACATTTAATTTTCTGACAATTGTTTATGAAAAATGGAGTAGAATGTACACTTTCAAACAATCTTGATATATTACAAGAAAAAGATTGTCTCTAAGTGCAGATTATCATTTGGCAGTGAGTGGCAACGCTGTGGTATCATCTGGCTGCCATTTATTACGACTCATTTACAATATAAACTCATAGAAAAACAGTAACCGAACGGGTACAATGGCATACAAGACAATCATCTCCTAAGAAACAGAAAACGTAACAAAAACAGCTAACACAAAATAAATGCTGCGGATCATTGTAATATTCGAGAACTAAAATCTAATGATCGACAACGTTTGTTGCTCTCCTCTGAGAGGTTTCTAAATAAATTAGACGATCTGTGCCTTCTTCACATGAGGAAGATGTTGCAGTTCCGTTGTCAGTATTAGAAAAATTACTAAAAAAAGCATACGTTAATTAAAAAACATTTTAAAGGATGTCATTTTCACCGAAGAAGAAAACAATGCTCTACAATGTTAGCAAATTCCAATGGAGTTTAAAAGGTGGATAGAGATCTGAAATTAATTTTTAGGCAAATTCATTTTAAATTTTTCGAAAGAAATTTCACTCATGGGTTATTTTACAGCTATTTTATAACACTCAGTACTAACATTTTAATTATTACTGCGGACTCTCCGTGTCTGGGACTTGGCACATAATAAAAAAACTAATGAGCTTCCAGTAAGGATAACTAGTAGATTAGTCCTTTAGCTGCTGGAATCTGGGATGTCCTTCAAAGTTCTTAAATCGTTTATAGCTCTTCTCATGTTTCTCACCCTGCAATGCATATTGATACTCCGTCGTCATCTCGCGTGTGCAGATCCTTCGTCCGAGCTCAAGATCTGGAGAAAGGAGGTGACCTTCAAGAGCAATTAAAGCGTCCCTGTACAGACTTTTATGATTTCCTCGATTTTTTTTCTTTTCGACAAGCACGCTTCCTAGGAAGACTACAGCACACAAGGATATAATGTATCCTACAGAATGAACTCCAACAGTACCAAAGTTCTGAGTAAATTCTCCTTTCAATTGCATGCCCTTTTCAACTCTCAATTTGATTTTAGAAGTAGTGAAGTATAAGTGTCTTTGGTTAGGTGACTATGCACAGGTTGATCTTGAATTAGTGTATATTTTAGTAAAATGGTATATAACGTCCAGAAAAGTCGCATGTCCAGAACAAATTGAGACGTCCAGTAAGAGAGGGAGCTAACCCACAAAATTCCAAATACCGATTTATGAACGTATTCGATTACGAACACATATCAATAAATTAATATCCATCGTCTGCGCCGAGGAAGCTGCGGGTTCGAATCCTACTTAGACATTGTTGTATTTGTGATTGTCTCTTCACTCTTCATCGTCATCCTATCACCTCATAATTCAAGGCTAAACGACCTTGTCTTACCAAAGAAAACTGCTGAAAAGTTTATCTCCATAATCACACGTTAATTTCTCTCCAGGATAGAATATGACTGGGCCTCGGAAGAGAACGTGTATTGTGGTCATGAATGGACGATACGAATAATAATAATAATAATAATAATAATAATAAGAAGAAGAAGAAGAAGAAGAAGAAGAAGAAGAAGAAGAAGAAGAAGAAGAAAATTATTTAACTCGCAAAATACATGAAATTCAGTTTCGTTAAACTTGCTTATCAGAGATTCTTATAAAATGGTTAATACGAGTATTACAATATGTACTTAAGAAGTAAGATTTAGTCCTTCGTTTTCTACAATCTGAATAATCGGTGACAAACTCGCGACATAAACCCTGTTCTTATGATTGCTGATAAGTTTGCATATTGACACCTATATAAAATTACTCAATTTTCCCCTGTTCCAATACCTCTCTGGTTTCCAGTACTCATATAATATAATTCTGTAAGTTTTCAACTTTCAATGTCTGCATTCATTTTAATCACATCTGCAAGTATCGTTTCTAACACAATTGGGAATATTTCAACACGTTTGAAGCATTTAAGCAAACACAAAACGCGAAAGTTGCAAAACCGCTCCAGTACTCAATTGCCTCTTTTTCCAACTTGGCCGCTAACGCTTACAACCTAAGAGTCGTAACAGCCTTAACTGCACCGTTCGCAGGTTTGCAAACACCTTGTTTAGCGAAGTATACGCCATATGTCGATGGGCCTCTTGCTCACGTAACTGTTACGTGAAGGAAACACAGCAGAGAAAGCCAATCCTCCAATGGTATTAGCGTTTGGTAGATCAAATAAATACAATTTTCGTATACAATGTATAGAAACGCAACGAAACTATGAGTTTTCATAAACTTACTTTTACAAATAAGCTATTACTTTTTTTAATTTAATGTCGCATCAACTTTTAGGTCGTTAGCGACCACTATTGCGTGTAACGGTATGGCATCTATGAGGATGACTATATGATGATGATAGGGGGTGAAAGGACGAACACAAATACAACCATGCCCGAGACGGGACTCGAACCCGCGATCCTTCGATCAGAGATCGCTACGGCACTACTGCCTTAACGATCTCGGCCATCCGGACCGGCAATAAATTACTTTACGTAGAACAATTCTCAGGTTTCAAAAATTTGAACCAACAGATTAGAGGATTCTTGAAACCTTTCCTAAAATGCCTCCATTGAGATATTAAACCATAGCTGAAAGTGATTTTTTTAAGTATGTAACACGGAAACAATGCAACAACAATCCTAAATTAATACTTCCTTATCGTGTTTCTCTGATATTTCAAGCTCAATATTTTATCATCGCTGTCTTCACTTCGGCTCAATGTTTACTTTCGAGAGTCCAGATTTGGCTCTTCATTCATGTTTTACGAATATTATTAGTAGGAAGAGGATTTTTATGCCCTAAAAATCTTGAAATATGCTTTTGTCAGGAAAGGTATAGACCTTTCTTGACAAAATACAGGAGAAACATGCTTGGAGTGAAAATATATGTTTTCGACTAACATAATATAATCTACCATACTTTGCTAGAAAAAGTAATTGAAGTAAGCATTCATCTTATTGAAGGACATTGCATGTCTTGTATTCTTCTGTCTGGTTTAAAAAATATGTTATCAAAAAATATCCTACATTTGCACAAGTATTTCATCATCGACAGAAAACAAAAAAAGGAAACTGTGACAAGCTCTTTCAAATCAATGAACGTTCGCAAATAGATTCTATGAATAAATGAAACGTTTTATAAATAAGTCTATATTAACGAAATATGTAAAATGAATGCCTATAATTACACGAATACGCACCAACAAGAAAAAATCGACCAAGTACGCGCAAATATACACTAACATAATAATCTATATTTCATATTCAAAATAGATGTCAAGGGAAATTTCACTTAGCTATGCACTTAAGCAACGGATAAAAATATGCAAAATCGTAGAAATCCGCTCTCTAGATATTAGTTTCTTTTTCCCGGATGCTATAATTCTTCAATGTGTCTTCGCACATTTGCATCCTGTTAATTCACTCTCACTTTCCACCTTACCAAACCTGCACACAGCAGCGTTATGAATCTACCACTTCCACATCACTCGAAAAAAAAATATAACGGAAGCTCTCACCTTGTCTGATTAACAGCCACCACGCCTTAGGAACGCGGTACTTCCATCTCGAGTCGGAAGTTAATAAGAGAAATCGGAAATAAGATCAGGACACGATGGTTGGCAAAAAGATCAGCACGAGATGACGGTGGGGTGGGTTGGCAGTAGAACGTAAACGATGGCGGCGGCCGCGCCAGCAGCGGGCATCGGCCCAAGAGCTTCCGAGCGACAGGAAGAAAGCAAAAGCGACAGGGTCGAGGCGTTGAGCCCAACGGAGAAAGTAAAGTGGGTAGCGCTCCAATCGAACTGTGTAATCTCTTTGGTTGTTTAATAGCGACTCAAACTGGTTACGGAGGAAGTTCGCATTATTATTCAGTAGTTAAGGTCTTCCTTTTTCTACATAAAACAAGAAACCAGCTGTTAACGACAGGGAAAGACGGCAATTTACACGCCACGCTCAAGGTCTTTCCTTAAAATTCAAATCCTTTCTTCTCAATCGAGATTCTTGTCGTGGAAAGTAATGAAAAGGAGTTCACGTTGAGAGCTGTTATTCAATAGGTGTGATTGTATATGTTAGTGAAATGTCCCTTTAAAACTTTTGTTTAATAACGAATACTTTTTATACGTACAAAATAATTCGTTGTAAAAAACTCCAAATGAACTAAATGAAACTTCATCACTCATATCTTATTTTATTTACTTATGTTTATGTACTGACGTCGATGTCTCGTACTTGAAAACTCATTTACACTCAAACAGGAAACACGGAAAATGCACGCTACCAAAAGTTTCAATTCGTTAAGGAGAAAAAAGGACTACAGATGGGAAAGTTGCCTTTATTCTGAACAATGCACAAAAGAACATTAGAAGAGCAGAATGTGCCGAATGTAAGACCATACAATAGAGTAGATGTAGCAATACATAATGTTACGTCCAATGTGATGTCAAAGCAACAATGCGAAAGGATGAAGTAGTTTTTTTTTATTTCTTTTAGCATCCTGGATTTCGTGAGCCATTTAATTTTATTCTAAGGAAACTGATATATAAAGAATTTCTAAAGAGGAGGCAAGCCTTCTGAACAATGCGGCAGTATCTTGTGTATAACAATAGTAGGCAAGTACTACGCACTTCAGAATCTTACAAAAATAAACGGGTACACAGAATAAGGTAATAAATGAAAGGAGAACATGACATTATCACTAATACTTATGAAACGCTGAAATTCTCTTATTTATGAAGTATAAAAAATTGAGTATGAATATGAACAGGAGATATTAAACTTTTTAAAAATAGAATAAGTTTTTCTCGGCAGGATTTTGATCAAACAACTCGTGGGATCAAGTGTAACAGTTTCCACATCACAAGAAGAACTTGAAGAGTCAGGTTGAGACCGAAAAAATAACATTCACTTGATACGAAGACCAAGAAAAGATAACCGTGATTGGAAATGTAAATGTGGTAACGATATTGACAACCACCAACCCACGAAGAAATACGGAATCCAAAGAAACTTCGTTACATCTACAATCAGGATATCTAAGAATAAAGAACTGAACTTAACCAAGTTGGAAAAATTAAATCAAGGACTGAATTGAAACAAAAATAGATGGTAGCACAATTCATTCTATTAGGTCGTTTCCGTATGTTTTTACTTTTGTCGCTGTTCTATAGTACAGGCAGACGTAGTTCTAAACGCATTGGAATCGCCTCAACAACACGAACTGAAATTTTTGGTCGTAAAATCCGTGTTTAAGGTTCTTTTGAGCTGTTACATTCCCACAAATCGGGATGTCTGTATGTATACATGTACATGTATACGTATGTATGTATGGATGGATGGATGGATGTAGTAAGAGTGTATCACACTTAACTCTGTCAGATTAGAAGCTTTGGTGCTGAAACTAGTAGGTAAATACGTCAAAAATAAGATCACTTGTTTCGTTCAAAATATCACTAAGATATTTTTATTTGGGAGATAACTATACATGAAACCCTGCAACATTTTGAAATTTTTCTGGAAAATGGCTTCAATTTTAATTATTTTTTTAATTGGAATAGAAGAAAGTGCATTTATAACAATGGTACAGTTACAATTTTCATTCAAACGAATGAAATTTTGAAAATTCCGAAGTTCAAATTTATTTTTGAACCTGTCCTACATGTCCAACATTAAAACCAGAGATTTTTTTCTAAATGCAAATTATATGTTAATTTCATATTTTTAAATGATGTCAAACGCTTAAAAAAGTAGACGTTTAGTAATAACAAGTGGCACTAAGAGAATGTAAAGATTCAGTATGCGTCTCATTCCCACTAGTTTAAGATAAATTCCCTCTTAAAAATAAAAACTATATATATATATATATATATAAAATCATGAAAATTAAGTTTTTCAATTAATAATTAAATTCTGACTTAAGAGAAAACTCCTTCACATCAACTTTGCAAAATACCTACTCTTGCAGCCACACAAAAGTATCAACAACGATCACGAAGACAGGCTTCCAAACCCATCAAGAAGCCCTCTCGCGTCGCGACTGAACAACGCTTCCGGCAACGTCGAGGCGCAAGGGCGAAAGCGCGAGGGTGGCCCTGACCCCTCGACCAAATGGCAGCGACTGCGGAGCGGGGGCGGCCGCCGGCAAGAGGCGCTGGGCCGGCCTTTGCGCGTTGCCCAACGGCGCACTGTGGGCCGAAACGACGTCCGATGGGCGCGAGTCGTACTCTTTAACTTTGGATCAGCTATTCCATACGTCAATGTTTTCTTTTCTTTTTTTTTCTCTAAAGTTAAACACGTTTGAATAATAACTCAATCACTTCAAATGGATGTAAGGGCACATATACCCGTCAATTTCACTCACAGATACCGGTTTACTTTAAATGTTCATTTTCAAGGTGAAATACATTTGAAATTACTAGAACGTATGTTTCATTTACAAACATTTTGAAATGTTCATACAGTTAAATACTTTGTTACGTTGTTTATTTTCATTTAGTTATTTTCAAATATAGTTTTCATGCTCGAATAATTGTCTTTGGAAAGTATTGCATGATTTGCGAAATAAGAATTTCTATGAACATGTATTCTCTAAATGAAAGTAGACGAATAACATTTTTAAGGGGGCAGATAGACATAGCGGCTCGTGAATAGACAGCCGCCTTTAATCCACGTTCCCCTAGTACAGTTAAAACAGTTTTGGCGTTGGGAAGGAAGGGTGGTGGCGGACAGGTGGTATGCACGTCATGGTAAGTGGACCAGGTCGAATTAACCCCTGCGGGGGCCTCGGAGGGATCTTGTGATTTAGTAACGCTGTCCGATTGCTGATACATGAGAAGATACATCCCGAACAACACCACGCATAAAAAGGAATGTTTGTATCAGTAAAACGATTGCAGCAGGGATTACTGGCTACGAGAACATCAGGTCGCCTCGTTTCTCGATCGTGTTCTCTAGGCAAGGGTTTTTCATGGGGCTCAGTCTAGTGGAGTGTTTCTCGTGTACTAGAACGAGAGAGAGAGTATGCTGCATTTGGTCATTTTTTGCTACTTTTCCCTTCCTTTATTTATGTTTTTCCGTTTCTGATCTTTTCGGGGGAACTGCCTCTGCATTTTTCCGCCCTCAGTGTGAGGGCCTTTTTATGCCCTGCCAAATGACCCTCAGTGTGGGAGCCCCCACGCGGAATCTCCGTTCTCCGAGCTTGACGTGAACCCATTGACAGCGCTTTATCCCCCCGTCCGCCGGGCGACGGAAGGGAAGAGAAGGGAAGAAAATGTTATTTCTTTAGATAATAACCGGCGGTTTGGAGACAGCCACTGCAAAGAAGCTAACGTTTATGCCTGAGGCGAGATTTGAACCCGCGCCCCTTCGAGTCGAGTGCCAGAGCGCGTCCCCCTTATCGGTTCGTGCCTTTGGGCCCAGTGAGCGGGGGGGGTGCGTCCTCCGCCACCGGCGCGCTCTCCGGCCCCGCCCTCGCGCGCCGCCCCCGCGCCCCCCAGCCCAGCAGACGCGGTTACGACAGGATTCGGCCCCGCACCAACTCCACGTTTCGCTCACGTGTCACAACCGTTGCGAGACCCACATTGCTTCATATAATACTCGACCATTGTGCAGTAGATTTTCATTTATTTAGTAAAAAAAAATAAAACCTGTATGTGACGTGTGGGGGGACGAGCTCATTTGCGCACTTTTCTTTGAGTTCCAGAATCCTTTCCCATCATTTTAACTATATATAGTGTAAAAATGAGTAGTAGTTAAAGATAAATCAACAAATAAAAATAAAATTTAAAAAAAGCGCGAGATTAGCAACATTTGAAAGCCGATTAGACATTTTCTTTCCCGAGTTAAAAAACGTTTTTGCAACGGTAAACGAACGGCAGATTTGATTTTTCTGCATAGCTAACAAAATAGTAACTCGCCTTTACCTCTACTCCTACCACTACAAGCAAAAGGAGAGTTCAACCAAACGTACGCGGTAAATCACACATGGAAGAAATTAAAAATTGCCTGTATACATAGCAGGCTAAGAAATGATGACGGTTTTGCACCGCTGGAACATGTAATAATGGTAATATACGCACAGGCACAATTTAATTTTTTGCTTGCTTAATATTGCTTTCCTTGTTAGACGCGATCCAATGAGGAGTTCCAATAAGATACACTCGTATATTTGTTTACTAGAAGTGAGTGGGCGTCATACACATGGTATTTGTACAAACGCTAAAGCAAAGAGTTTTTCTTCTTCGGAGAACTACGAACCTCTGGACTGCCGTGAGTAATCAATTTCGTGTCTAACAGATCGTCTTTCGTAACACTTTCCGGTATCAATGTTTGGTCTTGATTTTACAATTTGATGTCCTCAAAATTCCCTGAGTCGTTTCAATAATACTGTCTTTTCAGCTACTTTGTAACTTTACACGACATACGAACCCTTCTAATCTTGATGTAATAGTTTTATGAGTCAATGATAAAATTTTATGATCAGTCCTGGAATGTGGAAGTTACAGTCACTTCTGGGTTGGTGTAATATCACCAACATCGAGTTCTGTTTTATCGCAGTAAAACACGACACCATTCCAGATTCAGAAAGCAATGTCATTTGGTCGGAACTATAAACTTCAAGTTACTTTTATGATTGTCGCAGAGGTCGTCAGAACGAAAGGGATCCATAAAACATGAAACTACAACCTGGTACATGATACATCTTTTCTCTAAAAATGCTTCCTAAATCCACGTGGAATGAACTACAGGTTTGCAAACCAGCTGTTCTAAAGCTGTTTTTTATCAATATG